TCAGCGGACTTGCCATTAAGCATGCTGATATGTAAGGCAGCATACTGCTGATTCACTCTGGATCCTGTTTTATGTAGTGGCGTAGTGCAGCTCAACGGCCACAGGGGGGAGCTCTGTTCTGACTCGATTCAATTATAGCTCCAGTATGACTGAATGACTTCATTTAGAAACACCTGAATGAAACGTGTGTGTGTGTGTGTGTGTGTGTGTGTGTGTGTGTGTGTGTGTGTGTGTGTGTGTGTTCTAAAAAAGCAGGAAATCACATTTTTACACATTTATTTAGTGTCAGGTCATCTTTTTGGCTATTTGGGGGATATTTTATTGTTTTCTCTCAGCTTCTCTGTCACAGGCAGCATTCATAGAGCCGCCTTTATAATCACAGTTTTAGATGATTGTAAGCTCAGATAGCTATGTAACTGTTCTTGTTCTGGAGAGAAACCACTAAGGAGATCATTTATTGATTCTTTCACACCGATATTTGTTTTCATTATTTCAGTGCCTCAGTCAACAACCTTCGGAACAGGCTGTGCCCAGATGATGCAGCACAACCTTACATGAACTTAAAGCATCGGTTCACTGACAAACAGTGTCATACTTATTCTTTTTGAAATATGATCAGTCACTCTGAGTTGAACATGACATTTTGGCTGTCCATACTTCACAGGAGCACGTATCCATTAGCTGACTTTTTACTTCATACTCCTTACATTTGAAAGATAGCCTTGCTATTACTATTTCGTTTTGGCGTGTTATTGTTTGAAAACACAAATACAAAAACCTGTCCAGATAAACGACACCATCTTGTTAGAGTGGATCTTATTGTGATTAGATTATCCTTTAAAAATCCACCATTCCGCTGTTGGTCTATTGGCTCGATCCATTGCACATGACACAAACCACATCACAATCCAACCAGGACATTTATTCGTCCAATCTGTCGCTCACTGCCACAGACCTGCTCTTTGGTAGGGGGTGACTTACTCTTTAACATTTTGACTTCAATGGGCTTTTTCAATGACATTGTTTTTAATTTTATGCTTTAGGTAGATTTGAAACCAGCACTTTAAAAAATTTTTATTCAAGTAAAAAGCTGGACTTGACACTTCAACTTCTAAGTATTTCTAAACCCTAGTATTGATACTTCTACTCGAGTAATGAACGTGAATTCTGATTATGTCCAAAATCTAATTAAAAACCCATCAAATCATTTGCTGCCTTCATGGCCGGGTTTTGAACTAAAGTCATTTGATGTTGATAAATTATGAAGTTGAAGGTGTTTTGGTCAAATGTATTAAAGGTGCATTATGTAAAAATATAGATAGAATTTTACAGTGAGAACATTCCAAAAGAGTCTAACGTTTCGGTTATTCTGGAACGAATGTTCTATTTAAACATATTTCATATCCAACAGGCTGTGGGGATTGTCAGTTTTTCTCGTTCAAAACAAAGGAAGGAGGGACTTAACTATTGTTTACCATCACTGAGTGTGCTGTTGCCATGTCTCTTGGGAACTAATACTGCAGCACTGACGATTGTAATTTGACGACAGCCGGCAAAAGCTCCAGAATGGTTTAAAGTGGTTGCAGTAACCAAATTTTACCACAGGATGGGATTTTTACTTCATTTCTACACACTGCACCTTTAAAATAGTGTCACAGACAATCCTGCAACATCACGAGGTTTATGTAATCTGTAAATCATGGGAACATTTTAAAATTGTCTGACTTTTAAAACATGACAGATCACACGTGACGATAAAAAAAAAGATGGTACTACAACGCGAGGTGTGCAGCAACACTGCAAGCACGACACACCAACCAATTTACATCAGACAGGAAATCTCTTGACACCTCTTGAGATAAAATGAGATGTTGAAGTAAACAAATGTGACAGAGGAGGAGTGTGCAAGGTGCTTCAGTCACGTGTCACTTCCTGATTGGCTACATATCCTATTCAACAGTTTATTTGTCCTCAAAATTGAACACAAGATAATCCAATTTATTCAATAGCCTGGTTTATGATCGAGTGATCTCAACATCCTTCCAGGCAGACCTGTGCGCCATTAACACACAACACATGACAGGAATTTCTGATAGGATTGTTTTTGAGACATTATGGTAATCTGACGCTTCCTTAAGATTCTCAAGAGGATCGGGTTAAATCATCCTGCCATGTGAAGTGAGGCTGAGCAGTCAACTAATATGCTACGAAAACATGAAACTATTGCATCATGTCAGTAAAAGTGACTGAGTTGTAGAAAAACATGGTTTCCCTTTAGCAGTGAGCAAGAACAATTACTCTTACATTGCCTATATTTACTGTAATGTAAACTGTGTCTGTGGTGCGGCTTCAATACTAAAGTAACTAAGTATTCTGGATGGACTCTCAGGCCTAAATAAAATACGATAACAGATCTGAATGTATTTAACATTTTGATACTATCAAAGGCTGCTGCATGTGTAAGTTCTGTCATTACTCACCTCATAACATCAATCATTTGGAAGTTTTGTGGAATTTGCTCATGTGTTATGGAGTTTTTTGTTTTTTACACACTTTTTTTCTAATTGTTCAAAAAATGAATTTCATAATTTATCAATTGATCCAGCAAATGGTGAATGATGATGTTCTATTTTGGCTTTGGACACATAGACAAAAATCACTCCATAGCAACTCATCACCGATTAAGTAAGACAGACCCCACCTGTTTGTTTCAAACTGCTTAGTCTGCTGTGCTTTCCCTTCAGGTTATGTGGGTATGCAACTTGTGCCGAAAACAACAAGAAATCCTCACCAAATCAGGAGAGTGGTTCTACAGTCCAGGGTCGGATCAGATGCATGGGGTATTTGAAGGTGGACCACAGGGAAAAAAGGCCAAACTGCAGGACAAGTCCTTATACCAGGGAGCTTCCGTAGACCGGATACCAGCCGCAGACAGACGCAGACCTCATGGCGGGAACCTACCCAGACAAGCATCCCTAGACAACGGCACAGGGCTAAGGTACCCCGGGCCTGGCGATGCACCCATAGACAGGTCAGTGTCTTGTCTTCTGTCTTAATCACAGCTGGGATCTCCGGAGTGTGAATTAAATGACTTTTTTACCCAACAAATGCAGCTATGGACACGAATATTTATTTGAACACATACATACATGGAGTGTGAAGCTTTTTGTTTAACATTAGCACTGTGTGCTTATGTGGAACATTGATTTGAGCCTTTCAAGCCAGACAGAAATCCACATTCTTGTACGTGGAGCTCATAATGCCTTTAGAGAAGACAGGACTCTGTATCTGGCTCTAAGTCAGCAATTCTACAAGTCATCCACCCACTCAACCACTCCTCACACACACACAGACGAACATGCACGCATGCACGCGTGCACACACACACACACACATCAGCATACATCAACACAAATAATTTCCTGTCTGATTCAGCTGGGATAGGATATTACCACATGAAGGCGAATTGCAACCAATTCTGTTCTTTTTTTATAAGAAGCAGTGTTCTTTACTTTAAAATGTTGTCTTCTCTTTAGGTGTGGTTTAAGGCCGCTCAGATAATGAAAATCTTTACTCACAAATGTGGGTGTTAATAGAATGAGTTTGCTAGAAAAGCTACCTGCAAGGTAGATCATTGTGTTTCTCCTATCTTATGAGCTAGATGCCCTCGCTGAATAAAGCACCCCCGGATGCTGACAGTACAGGATTGTGTGTTTGGTAATCTGCATGTAGGGTGGGGTAGTGCCTCTTATGTCCACATGAGGGCTCCTGCATCTTTGTTTCCCTATAGAGGCTTAAAGTTGAGATTTGTGCAGCAGAAATGTAATAAAATAAATTTAGCAACAGTCTTAAATGTTCTTGTTTCTCTTTCAGAGATTTCAGGTTAATCTAAATGTCCCATGTGCAAGCTGTTGTTTTCCATGGCCGTTGGTTAAGAAGATATTGAAAGTGCGGATGCGTCTTTTGCTCTATGAGAAAAGTCCTGGGAATTTGGAAAATTTGCGAAACATGTAACACATTTCTGTATTCATGAAACAGACAGGATGAAAAAAATCTTGCATTCACGTCATTTACATTAGCAGAGGCAAGAAAAAAAATCTAGTTGGCTGAAAATCCTCTAGATAATGTGGATGATGGATAGCAGGAAGTCCATAAATAGAACTCCCTCTGCATAAGCACCAGAGCCCACTGTCATTAATCTTAAGCAATGTGTAAATTAACTCTGGAATCTGTTCTGCTAAAGAAAGGAGGGGAAGTGCTGACGGTCTATTTTGTAGGAAGAAATAACTTCTAATTTGTCCTGATCTCAGAGGTGTTGTTTAAATGAGCACACAGTTACAGCAGGACGGCTGCAGCATGGGGTGACTGGTGGAAAAGCAGTGATCACACCAGAGGAATGTTCTCAGATTGAACGTGGACTCTAGCACCTTCAACATCACGAAGGCAACATTCAACATGCCCACTGGTTCCAAGGATAAGGAAGCAAGTCAAACTTAGCTAAGACATGCAGCCTACTTATCTGGAGCAGAACTACGTGTTTCAGGTCGTATTCATGAGTAACAGGCTCTATTTTCACATTTACTGTATTTCATCAAAATTGTCTCGTATTTAAAACGCTCATTCAGAGAACGTCTAAAGTCAGAACATGTCTGTTGTAACTGATTTTTTCATTAAATTAACAGGTAAACAGAACGGTGTTCATGTTTCTTATGAAACATTTTACCCTGCCTGAGCTGCGTCCATGGACGTAATTTTCACTTTAGAAGTGTGTGTGTGTGTGTGTGTGTGGGGGGGGGGGGGGGGGGGGGGGGTATATATCTTTACAGTATGTCAACACAAACAGTTGTTTTCTGCTTGGTCCTAGAGCTCAACTAGTGTCAATTTAATATAAAGTAATATTGTTTTTGGATGGTAAAACGTGCAGGGGTAAAAGCTTGATTTTGGAAAAAGTGGTGGTGGGGAGGGGGGGGGGGGGGGGGACATGTCCCCCCCAAAATTACATCCATGGCTGCGTCTGTTTCAGGCTGTTTCTAGTTAACCATTACATTTAGATGCCATAAAATGCTACTTTATTGATTTAAAACTTAAATTTACCACCAAGCTTTTATAAAATATCTTTTTAATGTTTTAGTGACTTTTCACAGGACAATAAATGTTGTTTTAAGGAAAAATGAAGCAAGTTTCACCAGAATCTCATATTCGTTAAACAGAAGAACTGAATAGCAGAGAGCACCAAACCGTCTTGTGACAAGACGATTTTTAGCATAAGGAGCTCCATCACTGTTGCCGAGTTAGACTTGTCTAATAAACACCCAAAGTACCAACATCAGCGCACTCCTTTTAGGATCAAGCACTCATAGAGAAAGGAGAATATGATGGCTCTCTGAGAGAAAATTGGTATCAGCAAGAACAGAAATCAGAAACCGTGATTGACCTACAAAACCAGAATTGGTGCATCAGTCTCTCACCAAACTCTTCAATAACCCACTCAGTTCAATTCAGTTCAAGTTTGTTTATATAGAGCCAAATCGCTTGAACTCATTTAAACTCAAATATCAAATATATCATACATGAAACACATTTTAGGACTTTAAAAGCTCCATGTCTTTGACAGAATTTTCCTCAATAACCTTTAAGTTAATATACTACATATACTATAACTACACTATATCAAATCATGTCTTTTCCTCTGATGGAGGTTCTAAGTATACTGCAGGTGGAAAGTGCCCATAAAGTCTTATTTATGTTTTATAACCTCATAATTGCGTCATACCATGCCACTGATGTTGAATAATTATCAGCTAGTACAAAGGGGTTATTTTTTATTTTACGCATCAAGCTTTCAAAGATTAATGTTTGTGTTTTTTATTTTATTTGTTTTGGGTTCAAGCTTCAGGTTCAAGTCCAGATATCTGGTTGTCCTGAACAACCAGATCCTACCGCTGAACAATAAATAGATAAACAAATAAATACATGATTTCAGAGGGAAATCACCCGTGTGTGTTCTGTTTCCTGACTCAGTGCAGCTCTGATGGACCCGGTTCTTACTCCTGTCTCTGTTGGATCTGCTGATGCGCATAAAGATAGTGCATGAGAAAGAAAGGAGACCACGCGCACGATAGCTTTACATCCGAGTGTCGCGCGCGCGTGTTTGTGTATGTGTGTGCATGTGTTAGCGCGAGCGTGGCAAACTCCTCATAGGCAACGGGAAGTATGAGTTGATGCGCCGGTAAAAGGGACGCCGCCGCTTCCGCTTCTCCTCCGCCGCCTTCTGCACACCGACACGAGATCCTTCTTCCTGCGAAAAGAAAAGAAATCCTGCACCGGAGCTATCCCGTTCTTATCGCTGCAAGTCTGAGGCATTATGAGGGAAGGATCTCACCCGGAATGCGTCTCGTTTAAGGACTCGTTCTTTTTCTGTTTGCACCAAGAGCGGCAGAAACATGGAACTTAGTCGGTTTTTCTCTCCGTTTGATGCGCTGCGCCCCGGGAGGAAATGACTGCATTTACTGTCGATGCGTCCGGAGAGAGCGCAGGCTTTGAGATGAATTGTTGGTGAGAAGGGGAAAAAAAAAAGAAAAACGGTGGTCACTTACTGAGGATACAAGTAAAACCGGAGGGGGAAAATGCAGTTTGAGACATTGCGTCAGTTCTGTAGCTCGGTTTTATCACATTTCAACGGGGCTTTCACGGCTCCTCAGAACATCCTGCAGACGGAGCTTTTGGAGCAGGCGCTGAGCAGCATCGGGTGAGTGATTCCTTTGTAAAGAAAAGCCCAGATTTATGAAGAAGGGCTTCCCCGACCATGGCAGACCTAGAGGTGGGGGTTGTTGCGTTCATCGATCGCACACAGCCTGCGTAACAGCAGCCCCATGTAGCCCAGCGCTGCTGCTGCTGCTGCAGAGCTCTCCTGCCTGGATGGTTAGGAGCGATCAGCCACCATGCCGCGGTTTGCTTCACGCGTGCGTGCACGGTGATGTACCGTCACCGGAGGCTCAGTTAAAACGTTAAACTGTTCAGACCGTGGATGTATTTGTTTATAAATCAGCTTTGCGCGCGTGCGTGTGTCCCAACGCACAGCTGCTGCAGCATGTGTGCCCCCGTTACTGCTGCTGCACCTCAGAGGGGATGAGGAGGGTAAATGTACATATTAAGAGTCCTGAGCTCGGAAGCGATCCACACACACACACACACACACACACACACACACACACACACACACACACACACACACACACACACACACACACACACACACACACACACACACACACACACACACACACACACACACACTGAACTTCAACAAATAATTAACACACATATGTTGCCGAATACATATATTAAGTGAGCTATACTGAGACTAAAATATAATGAACGATGACGAGCTCACTGCCACATGAAATCTAACCGCAGCATTCCCTTTCATGCAGAAAACACCAGAAGTGCTACTTGTATAGTGTGCTGAGTGAGAAAGTGAGAGTTTGGTTCTTGGCTAGATGCACTGTAGCATATTATGATTACTCTGCTAAATGCTGTGATTCCCTGCAGAGAGGCCTATGGTCTTGTAGACATGCATGGCTGTTAGACACATAATGCAGATGGCAAAAGGGCTTTAAACTTGCTATAGAATAGAATCAACTTTATTGTAATTGCTGATGGCAATTAAATTACAGATGGTCCGCCATCAACAGTGCACAAGACAATAAATAACAATAAATATCAAAACCATAGAGGACTAAAAACAATTTAAAAACATTTAGCAAACACCAAGAAAGTGCAGTGCAACCAGTGATTCAGATCTGCTAAAACGACAATTTAAAAGGATTTAAAACAGATTGGTCCACATTACTGATGGGGATGTGGGGGGTTGAATGTTCTGATGGCCCAAGGGAAGAAGCTGTTGGAAAGTCTGGTGGTATGTGATTTAACTGACCTGAAGCGGCGCTCTGAGGGCAACAGGTCAAACAGGCAGTGGGCAGGGTGGGTGGGGTCACGGAGGATAGCAGCGGTTCTCTTCAGGCAGCGGGTTCTGGAGATGGCCTCAAGGGATGGCAGGGTACATCCAGTAATCCTCTGGGCAGTGTTTATTGTCCTAACACTGCCATGGGTACTGAGGGAACACAAGCCTTTCCCTCTGTATCGATGCAGGCCGTACCGTAACACTGTGGTCTGTCTCTGGGGACTGCAAGTCTTTCCCTCTTGTCCCCCACCCCACCGTCAGAAATAATTTACAGCACTGCTGGGCTTTCTGCCACCTCACATTACATGGCCAGAACACTCAGCCACTGGAAGGGTGGAAGAGGGGGCTCTGTGCCTGGAAACTGTGATCCAGCAATTATCACATCTGAATGATTAGACTGAACTTATCTTCTATCACCTTTTTTCTTCTCAACCAACTCATTTAGTCTGATGTCCTCCAGACTGGTGATCCTGCTTATTAAGACATGTTTGTGTGTATAGCAGCTAGAATGTCCCTTGATGTTTCTTGATGTTGCAATTGTCCATCTGTTTTTGAGTCTTTAAAACTACAGTGGAACTCATAAATAAACAACAAAACCTAAGTAATCAGGAGTGTGTTTTCATCCTCACAGGGCCTATGGACTGGCTGTTTGGTTATCACAAGCTCTCTCTCTCTCTCTCTCTCTCTCTCTCTCTCTCTCTCTCTCTCTCTCTCTCTCTCTCTCTCTCTCTCTTCTCTCTCTCTCTCTCTCTCTCTCTCTCTCTCTCTCTCTCTCTCTCTCTCTCTCTCTCTCTCTCTCTCTCTCTCTCTCTCTCTCTCTCTCTCTCTCTCTCTCTTCTCCTTGTGCATGCACTGCCTTTTTCCATACTCCAGTTTCCATCCACAGGTCATAGGTGCATTAGTTATTCTAAATCAATGGTGGAATGTGTCTGTTTGTGTCTTTATGATGGACTGGTATCCTGTACAGGCTTGCTACCCTTGACTCTGAGCAGGATCAGGAAAAAGTGGCTGGATGTTAGCCTTCACTCTTTTTTTCTTTCTCCCATTGATTGGATTTGTTTTTACCCAGGCAGAAACCTTCTAATGGGCTGTCTCCTTTCAGACCCAGCCTCCATGTATTATGTATGTGTGCGTCAGCAGAGGTCCTAATGGGGTGGAGAGATCTGTTCTTAGAAGGCCTGAAACTGAGTGGTCACTACATTTAAACTGTAACCAAATTTGTCCTCTATCGCTGACACACACCTGCACATGCATGCACGTGTACGTGTGCATGTGCGTGTATGCGTGCACACACGCACAGGAACAGTTTTTAAACTTTCCCTATCGGTCTCCTTTTTGACTTCTGCTTAAAGCTTCAAAAGTGACGACCATTTGTGGTAGCAGCCATTTGTAAAGTGTGTGATGCAGTAGTATAAGTGATTTTCAGTAAATATTTATGTTTTCATTGTTTGCTTTCTCCTGCTTAAATAAATGGATAGCCACTCAGTTTCATAATCACTACCTCAGTGGAGCAGAAGACACCTTTTCAGTTGTGTTAACATTCCTCTTCGGATTGGCACATTTTCTACACCCTTTTGCTAAATAGTAAGCACAGAAATTATTCAAGCAGTCTAAACTTCATTGTTTTAGCTATGGTAACCAAGCAGAAATCACCTATTCATAACTAGAGGAAACTCCATGCATCAATCCCTGAAGCACCTGTTTGACACTCCTTTGTACAAATCATAAGTTAGCAATCAGTCAGCATGTCGGTGTTTTTCTTAGCCAGCATGGATGGAGAAGGTCTGAGACAGAAGAGACTATGTATCAACAGTGGCCATGTCCTCTACTTATAGATATGTATAATTTACTGTTATAGCTTTAATATTTATTTGATAGATGATTGGTTTACATGTATTGTCTGAAATATTACAGACAATACATGTACTTCAGTTTTTACACACTTTGACAAAAAGAATGCCATGGTATCAACACATTTTCATCAAAGCATTTCTGATTCTGGATCCAGTTATTTGCAAGTGGCCAAGTTTGACACAGCCTATAGAAAGATAACAAATGGCACTGTGCTGAAAGTTGTAGGCTACAACACCAGTGGCACACTGTGCTGGCCTTTGTATTTTGTTGTCTGTAAGGATTCAATGGAAGAGCTTATTCACTTGTTTGCAACATGTGTTGTTTGAAGGCAAGATTTGCTTTTGTTTTACATGTTAGTTTTGGCACAGTTAGATCCTTTTCCAACAAAAGGTGTCACTTTGACCACGAGCGCTGCTGTTTAGGCCTGTGTGTTAACGATTTTGGAAATGTGGAGTTTGAATTGACTGCTGCATGAAAGCAACCAATAAAAAACATCCTCAAACCATGAGTCTGTCAAGCTCATCAAGTTTGCAGACGACACCACCGTCATCGGACTCTTCTCTGACGGGGATGAGTCTGCCTACAGAATGGAGGTGGAACGGCTGGTGTCCTGGTGCAGCCACAACAACCTGGTGCTAAACACCCAGAAGACAGCAGAGGTTGTTGTGGATTTTAGGAAGATCAACTCCCCCCTTATAACCCTGTCTGACACTCCCATCACGATGGTGGACTCATGTTGCTTCCTGGGGAGCCCACCATCACCTCCATCATAAAAAAAGGCCCAGCACTGAGGCAGTTGAAGAAATACAACCTGCCAGCACAGTCGATGAGTCAGTTCTACACCACGGTCATCGAGTCCATCCTCACCTCCTCAATCACTGTGTGGTACGCTGGAGCTACCACCAAGGACGAGAAGAAGCTGCAGCATGTTGTATGCTCCACTGAGGAGGTCATTGGCTGCAAACTCTCCTCACTGCAGGACCTGTACACCTCCAGGACAGGTTGGATAACAGCTAGATTATTTATTTTATCTGATGACACCATCTAGTGGTTGATGAGCGTATCACACCATGACGTTGTTTCACTTCTTTACAGTTGAAAGAAACGCCTCTCGTTTGTAGCCAAGAAAACAAAGCTAAAACATTATTTTACAATTATTATGCAAATTTTTGGTTAAATTTACAATTTAAAGACTTGTCTATGAGAAAGGTCGCCTCAGCTGAGGTATGTCCTTAAATGCTCGAGCATGCTCTGATTGACGTCTGTTTGTAACTCTTTTGGTTAGTGCTGGCCGGCGCTCAGTTCATATTGCATGGAGCTTTACGAGACGGGGTGGGTTTTGCAAAAAAGGAAAAAAAAACAAACCCAGAAACAGATGTGTTGCCTACATTATATCATCATACATGATAAGACAAACACTTTTATGTATTTCTGCAAAATCATACATACTTCCTGAAAGCGAAAACTCCAGATAGAAGCATTAATTCTTCTGTCCTCTCGTGCGTTTTCACTTCTGTATCATCAGGTGCATATATGTTAATTTCTTTTTAACAACGGTTTGCTGGTTTAGTCATTCCTCTCCAGCTACAATGAGTTAAAAGCCTGACTGAAAGGCCCCCGGTTGAGGTAGTTTATGGAGGGCAGAACCGTATACACTCCTCAGCTCTGTTGCCACATTAAAAGCCACCGTCAAAGCTTCCTCCTCATCTTTTTTACGTCTTTGAATAGTTGTTACAATAAAGTTATGTCTCAGGGTTGTCCAATTGAGACAAAACCTCAGTAGCTCCTTTGCGACCTCCACTTTCCCTTAACACATTGGAATAAGTTGCCCACGCTCACTCCCCTGTTTTGCTACTGCAAAGCCCCATGGTGTTCTCCCCGGCTTTTGGTGGAACGCAGCAGCTGTAATTAAACTGGTTTTTTATTGGTTT